GGCTTTATTGTTTCGACCTAATTGCGGTCTTCTGAGGCGTAAGAGTCTGGTTTCAGAGTTCTTCTTAGCAGGCCTTGGCCCTGAATTCTGACAAAAGTCGAGTGGAGTAGTCGAGTGGAATCAGATGGGGAGAGCTATGAGAGACGCTCCTGCCTTTCTTCAAAGTGCCTCGATCGCTTATGACACCAGTCCAATTTTCGCTTCATTAGAAACATCTAATTATTATTATATTTACTTGTTCTGAGCCGAAACACTGGATGCTCAGTGCAGAGTAGCGTACTATCTGTTTATCTTCTACTTGTTTACCCTTGTGTATTATGTTTTTCTGTTAAGCTGAAGACTCGTTCAATAAGTGTTGTCGTCCTGGTATCTTCGGTACTATGTTTACTCTTGTTTACTATTCTGAATCTGAATCCTTCACATATCTTGTGAGTGAGGTGTTGTTCTGTTTGTGGAATTACCGAATTTTCAGCGACAAGGGATCGTTGCTTCTCGCTTTCGCATGTATTGATGTTAAAAGAGCTAGATGTGAACCCCTTCCCTCAAATACTGCTATGTCTATTTACGACTCTCCAGGAAAGATCATGCTGCGGCTTGGGATGATGAAGCCTCGAATTCCGCAGTTGTTCTGCAAAAACAAGAAGGTGAAGTGCATCAACCTGTGTTTGCATGAATGTAGTCAACAGCAGCTCCTGGCCAAGTAATGACTACGCGGCATTGATCTTGACAGGGAACATCCTGGTATCTGCAAATATTCATTCAACGACAGCTGCAAGTGTTCGGAACAATAACAAAAGTAATTTCCGAGATTCACCAGCTCAGTAACACTCTCGAACCTAAAATGGTTTTCGAATGAGTTGGTGGCAGATGCGGAGGTGGTGTAGTCAGAGTGGCGCGCTTACCACTCGCGCGGTCCCGGGTTCGAATCCCGGGTCGACTCCCGCCCAGGCCAACCAAGCCTTCTACCCTCCGGGGACGGTAAATTGGTACCAGATTCGTCTGGGAGGATAAAACACTGACTTGTACATCGGCTGGCCCCGCAAGTCATTGTATAGGCCACATCGCATTCAATAAGCCACTACGATTCTGAATGGAAGTAGAATGCGTGCCGCATCCCACAAAGGGATTGATCAGCGGCGACTTTATTCTTTTTTTTACTGCTGGCTCGACTATCACGCTGTCAACCTTATTTGTTGTTGCTATATTATGTTACCCATCGCCGATGTCCCCATCCAAAAACTTCTTTCACTCAATGGAATTATAGCGCTAATATTGGTGTGATGGTCGCTATGAATTTGATGATGCTCGCTTCGTATCATTCCTTATCAGCTATATGCATTACTTCTGGTCCTCTCATCAATCATCAGTGTCCACATCGCACCCCTTTTTCACATAAAGGACCAGCGTTGCTATGACAGCGAGTGGTTCTATGGCACGCGTTCAGGGTGGCGCTTCCTTCCCATCATCCTTAGTCCTTAATAGCACGTACGCGCAGATATACAGGGAGGGGGCGAAAAAAAGACACTTTGGCCGAGTCACATATCAGTAAAGTTTACGCAGCCCAGACAGAAGACGTGGATACGAGTACCAGGGGAAGATACCCAAGATGTTCCTCGATAAGCAGGAGCAGGCTCTCGTCCATCACCTTCATGTACACCAAAATATGAAGTCATCTCCAGTCGCAGCCTGACTGGAGAAGGCCTTGGAATTCACGTCACCTCCAAACAGCTGCGAAACTTCTTGTATGGAGTCACCCATGGATAGCTACCTGGAGACCAGTACTCTCGATCTGGAAGACCTCCAACATCGAGCAGCTCCGACAACGTCGCTACGGTCTAGGACATCATCTTCTTGCAGTCCAAGGCGCGGGTTGATGGTATGGACCGGACAGTTCTCGAATGAGAAGACCAATATTTTCGTCGTCGTTGGATCACCCGACTGAAGACCACTGACGGTTCCATCGGCTTATCGCCCTGTACCATTTGGAACTTCCTATTGCTACTGGACTGGGTGCACACATGGAATCGACAGGTGTTGGCAAGAACTCTTGGCCGACTCGGAACCAGGAAGGGCGTTGGTAGCCTGAAGAAGCACGGAATATTCAAGTGTGAGGCTGACCTTCCCCACCCACCCCCCCCCTATTACAAGTTCGGGAAAACGACTCAACAGGGTGGATCAGTGCGAGGCACACGATCTCCGTTGAACTCAACACCTGAATCACGGGGTTGACTTTAGCAGAAATCTCTCAAAGGCGTTCACCCAGGAGGCTATGGCGGAGTATTGTGATAAAGCGTAATGAGTTGTTGAGTTTGGTGCTGAAAAAATCAATCAGAACTTAATGAAGTGTAACTTATATCGCCTTGAATATCAAGGAACAAAAGTGTGCTTTTTTTGGCCCCTTTACCCGTAGGTATACTTGGCGCATTACAAAACTGAACCCTCGCATAACTAATGATTTATTCTTCGGCCAGGCTTTTGTAAGGATGGTGACCTTAGGCGAGCTATTTGCGTTGGCGGTGAATTTCTGTCACACTTTTTCGAACCTCAATTACTACTTGCCCATCCGAGCTAGGGGATCAGGTAACGATGATGTGAGCACTTATAACACCAAGGAGTTTCTTTTCATATAGTAAGTTACACTCGCTTGACTCGCTGTTCTTCTTCTTCTTCTGCAATATTGAAGATGGGTTTTATCGCTACCATCGGCCTTACCCCACCAACTCCTTCCTCAAACTCTTCTCGTCACCATCTCCTGACGCCTAGCATGATAGCTGCGATGCCAAATAATGCGAATCTGGATGAGGACGATGCCCTCAGTTATTGGACAACGTTTCAGACGCTAATGCTTCAAAGCGGGAGCCTACAGTTTTGATGACGGAGTGAGGTTTCGGTCACCTGTGAGCTCAGATTGAGGGAGCTGCGGGTCGTGAAACTGCTGCATGAAGAAGCTGCTTTCTCGGTCAACCCGTACGCAAAACAACTAGAAGATATGATGCGAAACATCGATCAGAGGGAAAAATTCGTCCGCACAGTCCGTCTCAAGTAACAGTGCAGGCTACTCGTCACGAAAAAAATTCGAGCCGTACCTCATTAGCAATGAGCGGTCGCTCTCCCCTTGCACTGGTTGCTGCCCAGACCTTGCTTCATTCTAACTGCGTACTGTGGCCTCCCGTACTCGACCGCTTAATGGCAAGAAAACCTTCGAAACCCTGAGCCAATCAGAATGAGATGTTGTCCAACTTTGCGTCGCGCTGGCCTGCATTGTGAGGCGATGGCATCCATGAGGTGCTCAAAAACTGGAAAGGAACCCGCAGTAACATTGCTGTATAATTTTGATTTAGCAGAGCTCTCTGTATTAAAGGAAAGCGTACTTGAAAAAAATGTCACAAAACTTTCGGCAACCTAATAGACTCGAATAGCGCCATATGGCCGACAGGTTTTTTTTGGCGAAAATTCGGGAAAACACGTTAAAAGAAACTGCTCACGTCAGTGATCGCCTAGTACATCTAAGAGAGCATATGGTTTATTTGTTGATCATGATGAAGTAAAAGGAGTTTCCACACGCTGTGCCTTCCACATATTTGAGGATAGAGGGTAGAAAGCTACACGAAAAATCTTCCGAAGATCTGATATTTGATCCATTCTCATCAACATTATTCATCAGCTTGTCTACCTCGTCAGCTTATCACAAATATTACGATTTACGGTAGCGTGAAGCCCACCAACTGAACAACAACGACGACCGCATCGTCCTATATCAGCCCCTATCAGTTTGTTATCGCTTTTATAATGACGCTGATGTGCCCAGCTCACCTTTTATATCACTTGCTTGCCGGAGCGAACGTCTCCCGGCGCTGTGACTTGCGCTGCGATGACGTTGGACCTTACCCTTCACCACTTCGAATTATCAGCGTGCTTCAGCCTGGTCACCGCACCGAAATTGCTTCTTTCCATTACACTATCATTATCGTTGGAATCACACACCTAGTATGCTGTCACCGCACTGGAAAACGTGACCTTACTTTCTATAGCCTCAGCGGCTTTCAAATCTTGCAACTCACCAATGATGTTCCTATTCCATACCCTGCATTCTGTCTTGTAATCAACACATAGCTGGTGCTGCGAGATGCGCTATGTACTTGGTGACCCTCTTCTTCTGACTCCTCTTATCGGACCTTATCTTGATATCACGTCCTGTCACCCACCGATAATGTTCTCGTCGCACACCCTATATATACTCCTCAGCATTACGCGATACTTTTTTTTTTTTTTTTTTTCTCGGGGGGGTCAGTGGCTGCGTTTTCCGCGGTTCCAAAGTCTTTCTGCACCAGTTGTTGAAGCGATCAAATGACATAACAGCATTATATCCTTCGTATTACTCGTTTTCTACCACTTTTTGTCGCATACGCGCTTCAAAGAAAAGGCTGAGAACGGCTTCAAACAGTGTGCGCACCTCCTGCTGGATACGCCCCGACAGTCCGCTTAATGTATGAGGAGTATACTTTTTGGAACCCCTGTCTCACTGCTACTGGGACGGGCGCTATGATTTTCGTGACACACAGGCGGACGGACACACACAGACATAGTTAACGGATTATATATAAAAGGAATCATCATGCCTGACGTTTTAACAGGTTGGTTGTCCTCAAAGTGTCGAAAGCATCAAGTCATGTCTGTGTTAATGTATGTGTTGATGGTGGCATTTCAGAAGTTCCGAGATGCTTTTTCTTCACTTGAGGACAACCATCTTGTGGGATCGTCGAGCATAACAAACATCCCTCCATATGGAAGAAAAACCATATCCTCAATTTTTGTAATGTATGAAGACTACTATCCATCCGAAAAAGGTGAGCGTGAAGATTCTTTCTACTACTGCAATACTGGTCGGTGCTACGTACCTGTTCCTTCCGGCCTCATGGTTTGCCTTGAAGGCTTCGTAGGTTGCATCAGGTAAAGTATATCGAGCAAGAGATCTGTATTCTGCCCTAAGAGCGTCTACTCCCGTGTTCAGAGCTCGCATGACCCATTTCGCTACCTAAACATGTCGAAATGAAGTTCTTTCTGGAGTTCATTTATTTGAGAGTGCTGCTTTCCTGGCCCATAACTGTAATCACATCACAACAGGAATCCCCTGAAGCCCACTGACTGGTTATGTGTACGTTATTACTGTAACGTGCGTACGCGCGTGCAAGGGTTCATAGTATGGCCAGAAGGAAACCATGCCAAAGTCGACATGGTACTGTAAGTGTGAACGATGAAGAAAGCTAGAAGTGCGGGAAACTACCATGCTTCTCTGGTCTCAGCCCGCGTGCTTGGCAGTCGATTCAGTCGTCGCCCTGTCATCGTGCTGGATGGTAGCTCCTATTCTTTCGTCTCATTTATGGCCCGGTGAACAGGCGCGTACCTACGGCACATCCTTTGGTCCGGTATGTGCGACGTAACAAGAAAGAGCGGACCTTTTAATCCCACGTTTTGCCTGGTTTGGGTAGGACGTCGCCGATGCACTCCTCGCCCTACTCCCCACTCACGAAAGTTAACGCTCTGGATTCCTTCCGCCTCTTCAGCTACATCTCCACAATTCTGTCGATCACTTACCATATAATCAGTCCTGAGAACCCAGTTTCAACAATTTCCATGAACTCATCATCCGTTGGATCCTTGTTGAAATGAAGTTTCAATAGCTACCATATTAGTATGGAAACGGAATGTCTTCACGTGCAAATTAGAACTTAGGCAACTTCGACAAAGACAAGTAACAAATTTTGCTACTCGTTTTTGGCTCTTTCTATCTTGAAAGATGTCTCTGATATAGCCTCATCTTGTAGCCCTTCTTCATTCATCAGTGTGAGAGACGAATCAGTCCGACGACGAGTATAACTTGCTCTTGTGCGCCTTATCAGATGATAATATCAATGATGCCCACGACATGATAAGTCATGATAAGCTACGAAATGATACTAGCTTGATATTATGGAAAAATACCCTATGATAAGCAGGTTGATGCGTTCAGCGTCGGCGTAGGAGGAAAGGTCCCGCTGTGGTCAACCCT